CCCCAATCATTGGGGGAAGAATCTGGGCCCAAAATTGGGTTTAAAACTTCAAATGCGTAGCCAGCGTAAGACTGGAACTACTGCCAACTCATTTCAGGCAGTTCAGAATTGGATCTTTCTTTGGGGAGACAATAACTCCATTTATCATTCACTTTGATCTTTGAAACTTTGAAGATCTTTTACATTCACACAACATGAAAGGTAATATCCATAAAAAGCATAATAGGGGTATTTTAGCATAGCAATCACTCAACAGTGGCATCGCTCCATTACTAGCTGCATGCTTTAGTTCTGTATACCCAGAAATAATGGAAGTGTCGCTGCTTGAATGTTTTGGAACTGAATTGGGCTGTAGAATAAGGTGTTCATTCACAGTCTTCACGTTTCCATTGATTACACTCACACATAGAGTGATTCAGAATGGAAATGGATTGTAATATCAAATCCATCCAGTTCAAAATTAAAACGTACAGTAGAAGCCACCTTTTTTATGAATATTTTATAAGGGCAAGACATGGTGTTGCACAGCATGACGCAGTGTGCGATTGTTCTCATGTGTGGCCCATTCCCTCCTTTCTCTACTTTCTTGTTGTGCCACAGGGTGCCAGGTTGATGTCCTCAGTCAAAGTCAAGGGCAGACAGATAGCAGGCTGTGCTCTTGACATTAGCCGGAACTGAAATGATAATGTTTCTTGTGATGACGCATATGCTAATAGGGTTTTGTTCTGCGTGGGTTCTGTTTTCCTTAGTAGCTCGGTTTCGTCTGTGCAGTTTGAAGGCAAAGAATTAATTTGTTCTGCCAAACAATATTAAAAAATGCAAACAGTGGTGGCTAATATGCTGAGGGCTGATGTTTGGGGTGTTTGTTACGTAATGTGGACAATCTCAAATGAGTATATCTGATTACTTCCATGTGTTGCTTCTGAAAGAGCTCTACAAATATACTCTTGCATTGTTCTGCTTTTGAAGCACTATGTCTTTTTCCTGTTTTTTATTACACTCTTATGTGCTAATTATGCCCACAAATCAAAGTGTTGACAGTTTAGCTCTCCACAATGTGCTCAAAAGAAACACACAGGCCGTGTACACTTTGCAAGATTTGGGAGTGACAAGCATTTTTAAATGCTGAAATAAATACCCTAAATTATCATGCCAAGTGTGTAAGGAAAGCAGGATTCACTCCAAGTTGAAAAGGTTGACACAGTGATAACTCAATAGTGGCATCACTGCACTGCCAACTAGGTGGTTATTTTGGGTTGGTGTACTACTCAAATGTAATAAAACTGTCACTGCCTGAAAAAGTATACACATGAACATTTTCTAAATATTATTTTCAAGTAAATTTTTCCAAAGTGATAAGAAATCTATGAGAAACAAACTGGGCTACATACTCAGCTCTATTTTAACGATCTAGGAACAAAGTCTTAAGCGCATGATGCAAAAGCACTAAGGGTGTGTACAAATCCACTTTTGCTATTTTAAAGATGGAAAAATATGTCCCAGAACACGGTCTAACAGGCTTGTGCTTATTCTCTTAATGAGTTATAGGTGTGTTTTGAGAGAGAACCAATCAGAGTCTCATTTGCCATTTCCTTTAAGAGTCAGTTGCGTCGTGCCATGGCGCATTTGCTATTTACATGGCAGACCTTTTTGAAAAACTGAACACTTCACTAGTGAGAAAACAGTTAAACAGACACTTTGCAGCACAAGGATAAATAATGAGCCTCCTCCATTCGGCCTTTTTACTTTCTCTTTACTTTACTTTTACTCTTTATTTTACTGTTTTACTTTTGTGAATAAGGAAATTATGTTGTACGCACTCCACTGAAGACATCCATTAGTCTACATATTTAAATCTGTTTGTTAAGCGTAAAGATTTGTTTCAAAACTAAAAAATAAAATTTGTTTCAAAAATAGAAAAATTAATTTCTAAATTCAGTTCTTATTCAAATGGATTTTCTATTTTAATAACGTGGCGCAAAATGTAAAAATTTGCAAAGAGTTGCACTGGTCTGAAAATTGCAACAAATCCCGCCACACACATCTTGCGCCGGGTGTAGGATAGGGCCCACTGTTTTTTAGACCTGTGTGAACCAGAAGTTGCTCAGAACTTTATTTTAGTATGTTGATGTACTTCCAACTGAAATGGAATATTGAGTAGGGGGTGCAGCTTTCATTTTGCAAATCATTTTCTTGTAGCAAACTTGAGGTAAGTGTAGCATGGTAAAGAATATTGTGGCTGGAGCCAGAAAGCTGATGACAACAGAGAAGGACCGTTACTTCAAAAGCAAAGGTAAACAGTCAGACTATGATTTATGATTCATTGATTTTCTTTTTGGCTTAGTCTCTTTATTACTCAAGGGTCACCACAGCGGAATGAGCCATCAACTTATCTAGCATATGTTTTAATAAGCATTCCCTTCCAGCTGCAACCCATCACTGGAAAACACCCATACATTTTTATTCCCACAGATACACTACAGACAATTTTAGCTTAGGAAATGTGGGGGAAATCGTAGCACATGGAGGAAATCCACTTGAACATGAGGAGAACATGCAAACTCCACACAGAAATGCCAACTGACCCAGCCGAGGCTTGAACCAGCGACCATCTTGCTGTGAGGTGACATCGAATTAACTTGCACTAATTAATTGTTCACCAGAATATAAAAACGTGAGCTAGCAAAATAAATGTTGTAAACTTAGATTTCACACAGAATTTAAGTGCTAATATATTAATATATATTTTACTACTAGCATTAATATTAGTTTTATATGACATGATTAGGTGAACATTTTCAAACTCAAATTGTTGCAGCCATTGTGATTTTATAATAATTCATATACTATTATAATAACTACTAATATTTTAAATTAGCCAATATTTTTTTTATTTTAAGTTTATTTATCTACATACAAACATTAAACAATTAAACAACGTATCAATAATAATTTAGAGTCAAGAAAAACAAATTGCTAAGAAATAGGAAAGTTTAGAAATTGGAAAAAGGGTCACACTTTATTTTGATGGACTATTTGTTGAATTTGAGTTATATTGCATCTACATTGCCAACACATTCTCATAAGATTATAAGTAGACTGTTAGGTTGGGGTTAGGGTTAGTGTAAGTTGACATGTACTTGCAAAGTTTCTTATAGTCTGTTAAATGTCTGTTGAAGGAGCAGTATCAACAGATATTAAGCACACGGTCTACTAAAATTTAAATGGAACATCAGAATAAAGTGTTACCAGAAAAAGTATAGCATTTCATCCGCTGTGTAAAACATATGTTGGATAAATTGGTGGTTCATTCTATTGTGGCGACCCCAGATGAATAAATGTACTAAGGAAAATGTACTAAGGAAAATGAATGAAGGAACAAATTAATGAATTGGCATTGTGAAGTTACATGTATTCTATCATTTTTTTATGTCATCAATTTGATTGTTGTTCTTAAAATGCTGAAAAAAAATATTTGGATATTTAAACTATTAAAATATTTATATTTTTGTTACACTGAATGACAGTTTTGTTGGTGTTAAAATGAATTTTATAAAATTTACAATTACAATTTTTATAAAAAAATACAATTAAACAAAATGGTAAACAAAAAGAAATTGCACTATACATGTTAATACTAGAAAACCCCTTTTATCATTGGGCAATGTAAAAAAAAAAAAATAATATATATATATATATATATATATATATATATATATATATATATATATATATATATATATATATATATATATATATACACACACACAGGGACATGAACTTTTTTTAAACTTTTTTGACATGAACTTTTTTGATCACCAGTAACTGTGGCTGGTAGATTTCCAACATTACTAGCCACTTGCCATTTTCACTAGCCACAATTTTGTTGCTTGGAAAATATATTCTGTATTAATAAATGTGACTTTGACATGCTAAAATGGCTTGATTTAGATGTTTTGTTGTCCACATGCCTCCTTATTTATTTCACTGTGTGTGTGTGTGTTGTGTGTGAGCTTGCTCACTTTGCATGAGCAAATGGGTTGTGTCACATTGCAATTGGTTTTTATTTCACATGACTTTTTTATGGCTCAAAATTAAGGATTTACCAAATTTATCTTTTACCACACCAGAAAGACATAATTATTTTTTAGCCACACTTTTTAAATGTGTCAAAACAAGCAAATTTATAGCTGTATACATGCACTTTTTAATATTTTATATACAGCGGTTAGTGAGTTAATCTCATATTAAAGCAATAGCAATGTTATTGCAAAGGATGATAATTAAACTATATTAACAAAATAATTGTAAGCAAAAGAAAGCAGGTAAAACATACCACTAGTAATAATGAAAGGATGATCACGTGCCTGAGAATAATTCAAACAAAAGCATGCTGCTGCTGCTTACACAAAAGGTTTGCTGCTTACACGAGCATCGCTTTTTGTCTAGTCTATTTCAAAGAGAACCGATTGCACCAGTTGCGCTTCCTCTACACACGGTTGTTTCGCGCAAATAAACGGGAGGGCGCGCGCTTTTTAATTGTTGCGCGCATCACTTCACCTGTGCGCGCGAGTAATCATCCTCTAATAAGTTATTCACCTGTTTTTGCTCGCGCGAACATAGTTATTTTTGTCAGTCATGCTGCTTCTCAATTCTAATATCACATTTGCACGCATATTGGGCTATTCTTATTGTTGAATCCTACTTTAAGAAAACTACAATGTAAAAATTATTTCCAACCTACTAAAATGGCTAGTGGAAACGGCTGTCTAACCCGCCAAAGCTGAAATCTATATACACACACATACACACATACATACATACATACATATTTAAATTAATTTAATATTGCATCACTGTTATCCTTTGTGGATAGACTCTTGTTAGCTGCAGTGTGTAAATTGCTACAGGTGCACACACACACACACACATATACGCACGTACGCACGCACACACTGTGACAACAATAGAGTACAAAGCATGTGAGTGTATCTCTGTACCTGAAGCCCATAATCTTGTAGGCATCAGGCAGATAGCAGCGAGTGTTCTCCATTTGAGCGGGGTCCGAGTCACAGATCTTGTCATCTGTGCGCCCATAATTGGCGCTCTCGATCATAATGACATCAGTGCCCGGGCAGCGCAGTTCGATAGGATAACCCTCACACGACAGCTCTCGACGCACCACAGCCATCGGCACTGGAGCCCGACTCAAAACTGCAAACAGAGACAAAAAAATGACATGAGCAAACTGAACGTTCTTCATCTTTCATTCACTGGCTTTCTCTCTCAAACACACACATAATCCAGTTTTGAGTGTATTAAGGGGGGGATCTCATGTAAGGGGAGAAAGGTAGTTATAGAGAGCAAAACTATTCTTTTATTATACAATAGAAAGATCTCACATGCGAGTCCGAAAGTCACATCTATCTAGTTATGTTGTCCTTGGTAATAACCTTTCTTTAAATTACACACAAACACACACACACACACACACATTGACACTTAAATCAAAAATTACATTCTTTACCGCCACCCTTTTCCTGTTACCGTAGCAACACATTCTGTTCCCGGCATGACGTATAGCCATAGACAAACGGCAACACAATAAACTGCATACAGACAGACGCAGACACACTCGCTCTTCTGAAATTAATCTGAGGGATGTGAATGACACTTGACTGTGTGCAGGAGTTAATTTCACATTCTGCTGCTGCCTCCGATTAGCATACGCACTGACAGCAGAAACACCAAATCAGCATCCAATCAGGAACCAGCGTTTAGCCATCACCGTCGCAATCGTTTCCATTGAGACTTAACACACACACAAGAGCCCTTCTGATTCTAGGAGAACGGAAAGGCCAAAAGAAATGACTGTGCATAAGAGTGTGGGCAGGGCTAATGTATAGAATTGAAATGGCTTATGGGCATAATGTAGGTTATTGGTTTAAATAGGATTGAGTGCAGGCAGGAAGGCTGCTGTCGAGGTGGAACTGTGTTTCAGCGCCCTTGAGACCGGTGGAAGGTGAGTGCCAGAGAAAAGAGGCAATCGATGACAGTGAGAAAAAAAGGAGAGCGGCTGAATGAACGTGTGCCTTACAGAGATACAGAGAACGTCGATGAGGGAGCGCTTGTGCTGAGCGTTGCCCTGATGTTTTGAAAACGTTCCCCCAACGGCCAATTCCCTAGTGTGCTCAAAACGCCATGCTAAAGGTCCCCTTGAGGGAGTGAGCGGAGCACACACAGGGTCGCATGTGGCGCGGCGCGCACACACATCCAGCGTCTAGACGTCTGCATCTCTTATTATTGATCTGTCAGCTCCTCTTACATCTGCACTCTATCTCACACACTTTTAACAGGTTCACACGCAATTTTTATAGTTATGGATCGGCTCATAAAATGGCTCATTCACGGGAAAATCATCCGGCTGCATTTCATACTTCACTGTGGTGTTTGGCCAAATGCGGCCATCTATTAAAAGGCTTTGGAGTTGTTTTTGTTTGTGTGTTTCCACTTTCTCTCCCCCATATGTGCGCCGTGTATGTGTGAATGTTTTGATCATAACGGATGTGCAGCGGTTGTGAAATTCGGTGATTGCTCATGAATCATTTATTGCTCAGAGAAGAGATGTCTCAATTAATACTTTCCAAAACTTTTAATAAGACGGGGAAAAAAAACTTTGTGGAATTTTCAGAGCTGTGCGCTTCGCTCTCATTTGCCTCGTCTTCATCTGACAGTTTGCACTTCAAGGTTGGGGGGCCAACTAATCAAATAAAAGCAGTAAGACATCTTATTCATCCATCTCTTGGAAAACAACAAAACAAGGGAATAATTGGCTTTTTTTTCTCAGAGTGTGCGTCTTACCGAGCGTGACGGGTGTGAAGAGGGTGAAGAAGAAAAGTAGGCGTGTGGACCACATGACCGCCGATGACCCTGTTGACCTCTGCACTGACTCGCTGAAGCTGCGTCTCGGACACGTTAAAGCCATTGCGCTTCTTTCTGACGCGCACACCTAAAAAAGAAAGGACAAACACAGCGAGCAAAGAGAATGTTAATGCTACAGCTAAAGGTCACTTTTCTTGTACATAGTGTTAAAAATAACAAAAAAAAAATCACAATTGTGTGTGTGTGTGTGTGTGTGTATATATATATATATATATATATAAATGATGTTTAACAGAGCAAGGACATTTTCACTACTATGTCTGATAATATTTTTTTCTTTTGGAAAAAGGCTTATGTATTTTATTTCAGCTAGAATAAGAGCAGTTTTTAATTGCTTTAAAGCCATTTCAAGGTCAATTTTTTTAGCCCCTTTAAGCTCTATTTTTTTTTGGTAGTCTACAAAACAAACCATTGTTATACAATGACTTGCCTAATTACCATAACCTGCCTAGTTAACCTAATTAACCTAGTTAAGCCTTTCAATGTCACTTCAAGCTGTATAGAAGTGTCTTGAAAAATATCTAGTCAAATATTATTTATTGTCATCGTGGCAAAGATAAAATAAATCAGTTAATAGAAATGAGTTATTAAAACTATTATGTTTAAAAATGTGATGAAAAAATTTTTCTCTCCGTTAAACAGAAAATGGAGGAAAACTAAAAAAGGGGCTAATAGTTCAGGGGGACATAATTCTGACTTCAAATGTATACATATACAGGAATGGGCAAAAATACATTAAAATACCAAAAACCCTATTTTTTTTACAAAATACAGCAGTCACAACGTGTCCATCAATTAGACCTATTTGATCAATCCCTTCCCCATTAAACTGACTCAGTGAAGTAAACAATGTTTGATAGCAAATTTGGCCAGGAGAATCCAATACTTAATGTAAAAACTGTATTAGTAGTTTTTGATAATTAAATATTTGTTTCATATGTTGTGACATCTTAAGGCTTACATCTTTCCTCCTTATTAATTTTACAGTGCACCTACTGAACAACTACTGGCACTTGAAACAGCTAATAAAGTATTGTAGGAATCGCCTCTGTAGGACTTATTTTTATGTTGTTTGTATTAACGACAAGCATTCGGCGATAGCAATCCATCCAAAACTACTATTATTTGTAGAGTATAGTATTACTCCTAAGATTTTTTCAATTCTTTATTAAACTGAAGAGTCAATACCATCCAAAGCACCAATTAAAGGATGCATTTATATGATGTCTTAATGTAGATTTCCTACAAAGTATTTTACGGTATTTTAAAAATACAAAAATACAAGACACTAAAGTATTTTGATACAAGCTTTTAAGCCATTTTCATTTAAATATTATTTTGTATTTAAAATACATATATGAAATACATGTATCATAAATACTATCATGTGTGTGTGTGCGTGTGTGTGTGTGTGTGTGTGTGTGTGTACAGCAAAATCCTCCGAGTAAAATTTACTTAGTTCACTTAGTCATAAATTTTTAAATCTTAGTCATAACTTTACATTTAGTTTAGTTAGTTAATGAGACAATGAAAGGATTAATTAGGTGATGATTGAGCATTAATGACGAGCACAGAAGAGAAAAGCACAACTGACTTCAGTCAGCTGAAATATAATCAGCTGAAATATAATACATTAAATCTCTCAAAATCTCAGCAGAGGATCAAATTGAACAATAAGCAACTCCACAAACCAAATACTCTCTGAATTGATATAGACATATACACATAATATATACACATATATTTGCCCCCTGTTTAAGTTTTTCCCAAATTTCTGTTTAACGTAGAGAAGATTTCTTTAACAGATTTCTAAACATAATAATTTTCATAACTCATTTCTAATAACTGATTTATTTTATCTTTGTCATGATGACAGTAAATTATATTTTACTAGATCTAGACACTTCTAAATAGCTAAAAGTGACATTTAACGGCTAATTAGGCAGGTTATTGTATAATGATGGTTTATTCTGTAGACTATGGAAAAAAATAGCTTAAAGGGGCTAATAATTTTGTCCCTAAAATGGGACAAAAAAGAAAATTTTTCTTGCTAAAATAAAACAAATAAGACTTTCTCCAGAAAAAAATATTATCAGACATACTGTGAAATTTTCCTTGCTCTGTTAAACATCATTTAGGAAATAGAAAAAAAAAATCAAAGGGGGCTAATAATTCTGACTTCAACTTTAATATATATATATATATATATATATATATATATATATATATATATATATATATATAGTCACAGAATAGCTTTTTCTCCAAACTGAGAACATTCAGTACAAGATGTGTTCTTGTGCCCACAAACAGCTCGATACAACAGAAGTAGAACAGAATGCAAAGATTTCCAGTAATGTCAGTGGTCTGAAAGACATGCATACATTGACTACATTTTAAAAAATGTTACCGACAAACATCTAGTTTGAGTATTATTGTACCTCAGGTTTGTTTTTGTTTTTTTGTATGATAAAAAAATATTTGTTAAATGAAAGAATGTTTGGTAATAGTTCACAACACACACACACACACAAAGAAAAAAAACATACTTTTTTTTTTCAACCCGTTGAACTAATTGCCTTTTTTTTTTTGAAAATCATACTGGTCTCTGAATCATGTCTGTGTAATGAAGTCGATGACACTGAAAAACAAATCCATAATATTTAATAGAGTTTATTGATTGTTGTGTGTGTATGACCATGCAACCAGTTAATAACCTGTCAAAAGCAAAATGAACACCGCTATTTTAATTCCAACACTTTTATGTACCTTTTTACTTGACTTTGATTTAAAATAAAACTTTGTTTTTTATATGAAGGTCACACCATCACATTATATGTGATGAAACTTTTATCATAATTGTACTATATTCTAAATCTCTACTCTTATCTGCCTTCCATTTTCAATCTTACACCATGAAATCTATTGAATATTAAGAGACATTAAGTACACAAAGGTATTATATATGAACATAAGAAGATCTAAAAGGGGAATAGAATGAACATGGTCTATTTAATAATTCAGTTTTTTTTTTACTTTTTAATTAAGTAAATATCACTTATATTATGTTAACTGCATTATTTCTGATCAAGAACATCCTTTTTCCAAACAAAAATGTAAAAAGTATAAATATATATATGCTGGAATCAGCCTTATGGCAAAGACGTCTGCCATTTTATTTTCTGTATGTACAGTCCTGTTACACATATTGTTACAAATTAAGAGTACAAAAAGTTTATTTTAAGGCAGTTTATCTTCTAAAAGTCTGCATATCTAAATGGGTCATATTTGTTTAATGTATAATAGTAAATTCAGAAGCATTACAGCATAGGATTAAAATCCTGAGACAATACTCCTGAGAAGACACATGTGGAGCTTGGTTAATGCCTCCTACAACAGCTTAATGCATCTGTCCTCTTTCCCTCTCCCACACACACACACACACACACACACACACACACACACACAGATAGTTATATATGGCCTGCCTGCGCTGAACATCTTTACCTTATTAAAAATAAAGCACTATACAGCCACTGTCTCATTAAACTTACATAAACACTCAACAATGCCACTCAGTCATTAGAAACACACAGTTGCACGCTCCATCTTTTTTCCTTATGCACATAAACACACACTCAGCTTAAACACTCTCTCTTTCTTTGTCTGAGTGATTGATGGCTCCTTAACTAAAGTGAGCAGGAGGGTTTCGAGCAGATGTCCCACGCTATAAACATGAACATATGGACATATGCCCGCAGTACCAGTAAAGAGAGTGTGTGTGTGATCAAATGACCATGTAATCAGGCTACCAGTTCATTTCTGGTAAAAAGAGCCAGCATCTTAGATCTCTGAGTAATATCAAATATACTGTATGGAAACCTGTGTATATGGTAAATTGTCAATCAGCCAGTCAATCATATGAATAGGTGTGAGTGTGTGAGCAAGTTTCTGATTATTATGTCCACATTCATTCATAGCCCATGTTACTGGAGTCATCAAATTATTTTTTCTTAGCCTGTTTTCAGCAATCCGTCCTATTTGGCAGCCAAAAAAAGGGAAATTCTTCTAGCATTTATCTGCTTGTTATTCAAAACCTGTATGGCTTTTGTGGAAAACAAAAATCTCTTCCTTTTCTTTGTCCATTTGTCAAAGACAAAAAGAGTTTTATAAACTAAAAAAATCTAATCAGGCATTTCTAGAACAAGAATTTTTGTGACTTTATTGAAGAATCACTGTGTAGCCTCAAAACAATAAATCAGGTCCATCTGGCCATTTTATATTTTTTGGTCATCTCAAAGACAAAATGTGTCCCAATTAAACCCGAATTCACCCTAATTGTCATTTTCAATTTTTATACTTTGCCACTGTCTATCAAAACACTAGATTTTTTTTCAGTAAAAATAATATAAACTTTGATACACTTTTATGTTTAATTAATATTAGGCAATTTTTAATAGAGTCAGAAAAAAACACATACTATTATTTTTATTTTGTATGTATTTTATTTGTATTTTTTGCAACACATTTCTAAACATAATAGATTTAATAACTCATTTCTAATAATTGATTTATTAGATCTTTGCCAAATAGCAAATAAACTCTCTCTCTCTCTCTCTCTCTCTCTCTCTCTCTCTCTCTCTATATATATATATATATATATATATATATATATATATATATATATATATATATATATATATATATATATATATATATACATATATATATTAACTAGTCAGGTTAGGGTAATTAGGCAAGTTATTGTATAACGATTGTTCTGTAGACAGTCGAAATAAAAATTAGCTTAACGGGGCTAATAATGCTGCTTGTTCCTGAAGTTTGTTTGGGACAACTTGATTGTTTTATGTTTAACTGGCCTAAATTTGCAAACAAACAAAAAAATTACGTTAACTTAGTGGATTAATTTTGGAAGGAATGGCATGGAACCCAGCAGTTTTTACATTAAATGACAATGGTGCCTATATATATATAATTTTTATTTTATTTTTTATTTTTTTGAGAAATATTTCAAATATTTTTAACAGTAAATATGTCAGATAAAAT